CTTGTCTTGACGTCCCTTCTCCTCTTTCGACCTCGATCCTCCTGGTCGATCGGGTCGTTCCTCCCCCCCTTTCGCTTGCTTCCTCGCCATTTGCTTGTTATTGCTAACAGTGGTTTGGTAACAACTCCTCGATGTGAGCTGGTCTCCATCAATCTCGCCCACATTTTCACCCACAGGATATTTGATCGTCATGTGGTATGTAGACACGGCTGCTTGGAATGCGTTCAACCCCGTCCGTCCCAATATGATATTGTAGGATGATTCTGCTCCTACCACCACGAACCGCACCATCCTCACCTTCCTAGTATCACCCGATCCCAATGCCACAGTTAGACTTACTTCGCCCATCGGCATTACCTCTCCTCCGTTAAAACCATACAAGGCCGTCGCTACTGGTTTCAATTCCAGATTCAGATGTTTGTTAATCTGCGCGAAGCAGTCATAGAACATTACATCGACCGAGCTTCTTGTGTCGATGAACACCCTCTTCACATCAAAACCAGCCACTTCCGCCGTGATAACCAGCGCATCGTTATAGGGCAATAAGATCCTTTCCGCGTCCTCTGCTCGAAAGCTAATTATAGGCATTTGACCAGTTATCCCGATTTGCTCTCTCTTGCGTTTTATAGCTCGCACATGCCCCTTTCGCGCATTATTTGAATCCCCATCTGTGGATCCTCCGGAAATCATATAGATTGTGCCTCTCTTTGCTGGTATCTCCACCCTCAGCTCCTCTCGAGCACCACTCCCTCGGCTCCTCTTTTCCCCCTGTCGTCATCCTCTCTATCATCGTCTCTGCCACTCCTCACTACCGAATCCTCCCTGCACCTCCTTTTCTCCTTTCCTCGTGGTCGATCCCGAATGACAAACTCCTTTAAATGTCCTGCCCTTATGAGGCGCTCAATCTCATCTTTCAAATGTCTACAATCCTCTATATTATGCCCATAATCCCTATGGAATCTGCAGTATCTGCCTGATCTAGGCTTGGTCGGCCCCACAAATCTCGTCGCTGGCCACGTGACCTCCTTACTCTCCAGCTTCTCCTCAATGGCCGCCAGGACTTCGCCTATTTGGGCGTTAATAGGAGTGAAATTGTTGTATCGTTGACCATTGTGTAACCGAGGTCGCCCTTGCCAGCGGTCCTCTCGCCCTCCGTGAAATGGATTTCGCCCTTTCCTTCTGGGCGACGCTCTCTTGGATGAGCCATTCTTTAGCGGATTTCTCCTAGGTGATCCTCTCCTGGGCGAATTCGGCTTTTCCTTCCTTTGATCAGGCCTCGCCACCTCTTCGAGTTTAGCGAACTCTGCCTCTGTCTCTTTTAAATTGATGTACTTCTTGCATCTCTTAAGCACCTCATCGTAAGTTCGAGCAGGCGTCTTTGCCAGTGACGTTCGACATGGTCCTGGTCGCAGACTCCTAATCAATCCTCCTGCCTTCACCTCGTCGCCCGCCGTGGGCACCTCCAAACACATTTGATTGTATTGAGCAACATATTTCCGCAGGGATTCTTTCTCGCCTTGTCGCATCGCCATCAAAGTGAGGTATGTCTTCTCCTGGGCGACCGCGCATGAGGATTAGTAAGTTGTCCTGCGAAATCCTCAAAGTCTCTGATCGAACCGGGAGCTAATT